GGCGATTTCAGCTTATTTGTCATTTTAGATCACAGCATCCCAGTTTTTCCCACTGCTCATCCCAAGATCATCCTTTCATCGTGCTTTCCCTTCATCTTCCAGTGCTCCAAACAATTGGTGTTTGGATGGGAAGGCTTCCCTGTGTGTCGTTAGAGGCAGGGAACTCATGATCTCCTGCTAACTGCTTGCAAGGAGACGAGAAAACAACAAAGTCAATTCATTAGTTAGGCTAAACGACGCTCCTGGCTGGAGAGAGGTGTTTTTTAAATTTATTTTTTAACAAGACAAAGAGAAAAACAAGCAAAAACATAAAAATTGATGTTTGGATCCCAGTGGCACACAACGGAGAAACGTGAAAAGGACACAGACGGGAATTAAATCCTCACAGCAGCAGCGGCTCGCCTTCTGCATTTTAATTTAGCCACAAATTAGCATCAAATTCCAGTTGAGTGACAACTTTCATGTGACTCGGATACCAAATCCAAACACAGACTTCGAACTCGATACTCCCGGAGTGAGCTCAATCAGAGCGGCTGAAGTCAGGCTCAATAGCAGGACAAGTGACAAAATGCCAAACTGTGGTTTGGACGTGATAGCCGCAAATGTAGGAGAATACATGTCTGATGTGTTTCTGTTGGGCCATGCAAACAGTAAAATGGACTAAATAGACTTTATTCAGATTTCATCCACTCAGTATTCATATGGGTCAAAGCTGAAGATGGCCCGTTTGAACCAGACACACTCAAACAGGCTCTTGGTGTCACCAGCTGGTTGAGTCATATAAATAAATAGAATAAGAAATATAATTTATTTAAATGGAACGCTTAACTGACTGGTTGACTGAAACATTTATTTGAACATAACACATCTGAAAAACAATAAACATACAGTTATATTAATATAACAAGCACATTTTTTTTTGTGATCAACACAAAAGGAAGATGAACCCTTCCATCTTTACCTCATCCACTAGAAGGCAGTAGACAGATTTTTGATGAAGGTACTGGTCCTGATATTTCAAATGAATGCTTAAAGATATTGGCCAGAGGCTAAATTCCTTTGAATGGCATGTATAAAGTAGCATTCAAACCTCAGATGAAAAAGGTTTTTGGATTTTCACGGCTGGAATTTTAGGAAAATCCGATGTTTTTGACTGGCGCGGGAAAAACATAAACTAACTTCGGGTCTAAGCCCAGGGAAGCTGGTGACTAGTGATGGGAATTACGGCTCTTTTTAGAGAGCCGGTTCTTTTGGCTCAGCTCACCAAAAAGAGCCGACTCTTTCGGCTCCCGAGTGGCTCCTCAGATTTTCAGTTGCGTAGAGTACATTTATAACCAAAATAATACAAAACTATATGTAAAATTATTTACTAATGTTAAAAAAATGCTATATTATCAAATATTTGTCATTTCTATGGATTTAATAACTGAACATTTTCAGAAATCTCCACTTTTTGACTGCTGGCGCTCATTTTCTCACCGTCTTCGTCACACTCTCCTCCCTCTCGCTCGCCTTTTTCCTCCCCCTCATTCCCTCTCGTCCCCCTCCACCCGCATGTTCTCTGCAGTGTGTCTGAGTCTGATCCTCCCTCTTCCCCACACCTACTGCTCTGTGTGGACAGTCTGGACATGCAGTCACACATGTTGACCAATCGCCTGTAGCTTTCATCAAGGCAATTGGGGAGGGGGGAGGGGAGGGGACGGCTCTCAATGACGAGCCGGCTCCCGTCGTTCCCTTCAAAGAGCCAGCTCTTAGAGCCGGTTCGTTTGCGACCGACACATCACTACTGGTGACGTTTCACAAGGTGCTCTGCTGAAACAGATGTAGTAAACAACCCCCGACTCCGGTGTTTTTGCGTTAGCTTTATAGCAGAGAACATGTGTTATCAGTCAGATGTAGCTTCTGAAGCCTCTGCTAGTCGGTCAGATTTGTTTTTTCTCTGGGATACGGCAACGAGAATGGATATTGGATTAGCGGAGAAGTTCAACCGAACTCCGACCCCGTTAGCTGGATATCACTACCAGAGGTGCAGACATGTTTTGGACCGCTTGACTCAGAAGACCCGCGACCCGATTTGGACATCAAGCAGGATTCTTTTCATCTTGAGAACCAAAACCGGTACAGTTTGTTTACTTTTGTTAAATATTTAATTTCTGTTCTCCACTGGGAGCTCTAAGCTGACAAGTTCTCAGCTGGTCTTAGCACCATCATGTGTCCCAGTATAATTCAGTAATGTACAGATAAATAAAATAATGTGCTGCCAGTTTTACTGCTCCATATATTGATATAACTCTGGAAAATATTAACCAGTAGCTTACCGGAATAAATCTTCCAGATGCTGAAGTAACACTTTAGTTAGGCTTACTGTTTGCACAAATCCAGGATGGCATCGAAGGCCGGTCCACGGAGAATCTATTGTTGAAATATGGGGAAAATCTTTTAGATTATATGTGTGTGTGTGTGTGTGTGTGTGTGTGTGTGTGTGTGTGTGTGTGTGTGTGTGTGTGTGTGTGTGTGTGTGTGTGTGTGTGTGTGTGTGTGTGGTAGCTTTCCCAAATGACTTGTGTTTTCCTTACCGGAGCTAACACGGTTAGCAGTGTTGCTGCAGTCATGCTAACGGGACTTGTCTAGAGTCCAGAAGTAGCGGTGCGGTTCTAGATGGATTTATAGATGTATGTTATTATTTTAGATCAGACCTGTTATTTAAAAATGCGTGTAGGACACAGACACATGGCTCAGACCTTTTGCTGCAGCTGTAAACGCAATTTTATGTAATAATTAAAAATACAAAAGTAAATGTTGTAGCTATTTAGTTTATTATAGGCTTAAGTTATAGCCTAGTTTATTTTCTTTATTTTATGTTAAAGGTAATTTGTTTGTTTTGCATTATGCTTTTTATTTATTATTTTGGCCAATTAGTTTATTGTTTATTGGTCAGGTGTGGGTGATTATTGGTATAAATAGGTCAAGGTGGGTGGAGCAGCCAGGGCTGCGAGGGAACATGTTTTTTTTGTTTTTTTTTACCACACAGAGACAGAGAGGACGCAAAAATCTGTGCTCTTGCTGCTTGAGTGAATAAAGCACCACCAAACGCAATTTTGGCATGGACATTGCTTTATTTGAAACCTTTTTTACCCGTGCATAAAGCCTAATGGGCTCGACACACGGGAGGCGACATCGCCTCTCCTCCATTCATTTTCAATGAGACATGCGCGACAAAGCGATAATCGCGGGTCTCCCTCCTACCAAGCGAAACGCGAAAAACGTGCGTGTGAAATTTTGCACTCGTGCACGTGTCGTGCACAGGCGACCCAGCGACGCGATCCCAGAAAGTTGAAACATTTTCAACTTTTCATCGCTGTCGCTCGGACGAGGACCAACCAACGGAGGTTTCATTCACTGACCAATGAGCAGACAGGATGCTCGGTACACCTCCGAGCAAACATGGAGGAGAAGTTGATTATTATTATGTTTTATATAGTAAAATCAGAAGTAAGATTTCACATAACTCTAGCAGCACCTTGTGAAACATCATATCTACTGCTTTATTAACTCTGAACCGCTTAAATAACCTTAATTCCCTCCAACCTGACACAGCCAAACAAAATAATGGAAGTTTCGATTTCGCCATGGAACACAACGCGTCGATGGCTTTGCCGCTGCCGCGGGTCGCCTCCCGTGTGTCAGGTAATAAAAGCGAATGCGACAAATTTCGCTTATCGCGGTCGTTTGTCGCCTCCCGTGTGTCGAGCCCATAACCCTTGACGTAGCCCAGTGGCCATTTTGAAAGTATTATTTTTTGTTTAAGTTTTATGGACAAATAGCCACTGCAGTAAAGAAAATACAGTTATTCACAACACTAGCACCAGCAGTTACCTCGTTTTACGTGTTGGAGTGACGTATGCGAAACAGTTCTTCACTGTCTGGAGGAGAGGATTTGGATTTTCTGCAATGATTTATGACAAAAGTCCTTAACAAACTGAAAAACTGAACCCAGTTCATGTTTATATAGATGGTATAGTGTACTTATACTGCATTTCTACAATTTTAATGCCAAGTTTGGCCAATACCTTTAAGCCCAAATGAGGTTTGATGTCATTTTCTAACAACAACTAGGGATTAATAGCTTGTTTACAAATATTTTACCATTTTCGAACAGACCTGGTCAAATTTCCAAGCAGGATTGGCACAATACACAACCATTTTAAATGACGGCAGCCATGTTTCTGTCACTCATATGAGATTATGTAACCCTCCCACTGTCCTAATGGGTGTGACCCCACGAGGAAAGTTGACCATTGAGCAGTGTTCACCCCGCCACGTGGACCTCAAGGGATAAACCATCAATCCTCAATGGTCAGCTTTCCTGGCGGGGTCACCCGTAAAGACAGTGGGAGGGTTAGGGTAAGATATGAAAATGAAAAGCCATTTCAAAGCGTTTGCACTTAAATAAAAATTTATAATAACTTCCTGATCAATAAAAGTGGGTCTCTGGGTGGTGTCAACCTCTATATGCACCGTTTGTTTGAAAAATCTTCAAATGACACCTTCTCTCTTTCTTTTGAAGGAGTTCAATACCTTGTAAAAAAGTGGGAAAATTTGCACTAAAATTAGAATCAGAACATGTTTGGTAAGAGGAAAAGTGTCCGATAATCTAACTTTGAGTAAAGAGCAGAAATCATGAAACTACAGCCTCGCCTGTTGCTGGTTTAGCATCACGTGTGTTGAAGCATTTTAGGCTTTGTGAGCATGAAGACCGGAATTTCCTCCATGTGCAGATCCAGTAACAACAGGCCAGTGACTTTTCCTTGGAAAAAGAGTCTGTCAAGTGTTCTCAATCAGGAGATAAACACATTCTTTCAGTGCAGCTCATAAAAATGGCACCTTTTCCAGTTTCTTTGATCTCACGAGGTTGTGTCCTTTAAAAATACCTCCGTTCTGCTTGAGGAGCACATTTTTAAACCCAATAATGTTCTTTATTAGCAGGTGAGTCGTCCTACCTTTTCTGTGGTGCCAAGCGGCCGCCTGGAAGCTGGGCAGGTAAACAACAGCGAGTACGACCCAAAACTGCATCCTTGTGCACAGACACACCAACACACACTCTTCCTGTCAAGCTCATTCAACATGAATGATCATTATAAAGAGAAACCCTCCTTCTTACCTCTCATCTTTAATGTGCAGGATTCTTTGAATTCCCTCCTCCTTCCATCCTCCAACACTCCCTCCTCTCCATCTCTCCATCTCTGCGTGCACGTGTGTGTGTGTGTGTGTGAGTGTGTGTGTCCTTTAGACTAGACTCTCATCTGGAAATCATTAGGATTCAGGGGAACGTTTGCCCTCCTAACTGGACTTTTCTCGCAGCCACTGGAACACCGCTGGACTGGTTCCGATACTGGGTGAATTTTTAAAAAATGGGACAAAGGACCAAACTGATGAGCGCCTGACTGAGCATGAAGGCAACCAGTGAGCCACAACCAAAGCACCGATGTAGCAGTGAAGCTCAGATTCCTGGTCTGTCGGTTTTATTTTAATCACATTCATTGCCAGACAACCCTGAACTGAGTCCTACAATCACCAACCTGCTGCAAAGCACATTTTAGTTTATGCATTTAGTTTTTTTCTAAACGTTGGTACAACGTTGGCTGAAGCTAAAATTGGAGCTATTTTCTCTTTAATCTCATTTAATCGGGATGAAACGAAAAGCAAGAGGCTGAGGTGAAAAACGCTTCAAACTTCTGCCTAAATTCTTGACATTCCTTGGCTCGTGTCCTCGGGACTCAAAGAGCATCGGTTATTTAGAGGTCAGGTTAAAGGAAGTGCATGAAAACACAATCTGCAGCAAAGTAACTGCATCTGGATGGAGAAAGGAAAACCAGCAAAGACCCAACAGAACCTAAGAAACCCAAACTTCTTCAGTTAAAGATCAACTTTACTCATATTTTAATACACCTGCAGTGGTCTAGTAGAAATGGATGCCTTGTAAGTCATCCTCGGGGGCAGTGTTTCCCCTTGTTTTTGACTCGTGGACCCCCGGAGCAATTTTTTCGTACCACAACTACACCTTTAGTCAATCGTGTTGACGATTTCCCAAAAGTAGAACATACAACTGATCATTAAATGGAAATAATTTAATGAAATCTCCTGTTACTCAATGATTTCTGATCCACGTGAAACTGAACCACGTCTGTTCTGCATTTGGTTTCAACGAGGCCTCACACGCTCTCTCAGTAGCAGCTGCAGCCCTGCTCTGGTTTTTCCTTCATGTAGTGTTTCCTAACCCTGGTCTTCAGCTCCCACGTCCTGCAGGTTTTAGGTGTTTCCCTGCTGCCACACCTGATCTTAAAGAGTGATTGACAGGTTTCTGAGGCACTTGATGTCATCCTGAGGAGGCAATGCAAATGTATAAATCAGATGGGCTGAAGCAGAGAAGTGGAAAACATGCGGGTGGGGTGTGTGTGTGTGTGTGTTGGGGGGGGGGGGGGGGACACTCGACATTGAGGACAAACAGCCATTTTTATCGCAGTTTTGTACAAAAAACATTAGTTCAGTCCCTGCGATCCACTCGCTGTTGACCTCCTCTCTCCCTCCTCTCCTGTGGGTTGGAACCCGCACCTTCGCGCACCGGTGTGACTTCATCAGAATTCTGCTCGGCTCAGTAACCAGATTCGGTTCCGTGTTTGAAATGTGTTTCCCTACCGGTCCGCACGGAAGCAGCAAAATAACATTTAGCGCTCATAACAAGCGGATTCTCAGCGCTGTGCTCATAAAACAGAAGACCTGCAGGCCTCTGTGAGCTAAAACATCCTGATACTGTTCAGGTGTAAACATTGTGCTCCATCCCTGTGTTTGAACTCAGAAGATGCTTCTTGATGCCACAGATATGTGATCATTTAGCTTGTTTCTTTATTTTACTCCAGAATAAGAGATTAAATTATTACAAAAGCAGTTCAATGTAGTTCAATTAGTCATTCAAATGATTCCAACATGCTGCAGTGTGTGTGTGTGTGTGTGTGTGTGTGTGTGTGTGTGTGTGTGTGTGTTACACATATAGGACTGCATGAGACAGCGTGGTTTTATCAAATCCACACATCCTATTCCTTGGTTGAAGTAATGGTGAACAAAAACAACTTCTATTTCATAAATGACGTCTCAATAGTGTCTACGATAATGTTTTATCTTATTCTGTGCCTGTCTTTGGTCTGGGAGGTGTAACTTATCATGATACAAGTCTTAAAACATGTTAAAGTGTTACTAGAGGAGATAAATGCATGAATTTAAAGTTCATGTTTGGGGACCAACTTTCACAGTTTGGAGGCTCACGCTGGTGAGGAGACACCGTTAGTTCTAGTAACACCTGGGCTCCCAAGGCCTGTTCTGACAGGATGGATGTTACGGGACCCTTAAGGATTCCAGTTGGATGATTGGAGGATTATTTAGGAGGATTGGAATGAACAAACTGATTTCAGTGGTGAAGGGTTAAATGAGTGAGTGAACCCACTACCAAGGATGAACTCTGCTAACTTTAAAAATCAGCTGCTCTAAATAAGCATGAAGGTCATAAAGGAGCTCTAGGATGGACATGGATAAAGAAACTGTAATGTGGAGGTAAAGTAGGGCAGGGCCAACGTTAGCAGCTGTCATACGGTCCGTTTGAAATGTTTGAATTTTATTAGGCTTGTTGTGTTATGTGACAGGTTGAGCACAGTCTCATGTTAGAGTTTTGTCATGAAAACATTGAGATACCTCACAAACTGATGGCATCTAAAAAATAAATTTTTCTCAAAATAAAGAATAATTTTAAACCATCGAAACCTACAATCCTAGATACCTCGTCCAATCAATGTGCACGTCCTGTTCTCACTGATTGGATAGAAATCCAGGGTTTCCCCCAGCGCTTTATAAGCCTGGCGGGCCGCCAGGCTTTGCTTGGCCACCCGCCAGGTTAAGCGTCATGTCCCTCCCCCCTCCCCGACCCCACCATGCCCGCTAACATGAACGGCACAACGAAACCAGAGCCCTCTATCAGCTGATACTGGTGAGAAACAGCAGCGGAACATGTGCAACCCCCCACCCCACCCCCGTTCTCACAGAGGAGCGCTGTGAGACAGAGCACTTTACTCTAAACTACTTTCTATGCCTCACAATAACCAGCTTATATGGCACATCTACTAATTTAGTGAGACTAAATGAAAACATCTCTGTCTCCAGCTTGTTGCAACAGTAGCAGTCCCGTGGGAGGATTCAAATCAATCAAATCAAAGATACTTTATTAATCCCAGAAGGAAATTAGAGTTTCAGTACACACAATTCAGAGATCAGACATACATGGGCAAGACACATGACAAGAATTGGTGACTGTGGTCATTCGCAACCCTGAGTCACGCTACCTTGATAGAGATAAGAGGGTTACATGAGGATTGGTTCAGGTGGAGGAAAAAAAGAGGCACTTCAGAGTTACCCTCCACTAGGAGGGCAGCTTTGCTCTGCAAAAAAAAACACCTCAGACAGACATGCAACAGACTTCAGACAACACAACATAAGTGTCCACTAGGTGGGGTGGTGCGTTGGGACTATCCCCACTTAAGTTCCTGCAGCCACGATGAAGCAGCACATGTCACCTCAGTGTGGATAGGGGGAGGAGCATTGAGGGTTGGAGGGTTGCAGTGACCCTGGATGCTTCATCGGCCTTCCCGCAGTCCCGCCCAGGCTGGGAAAGGGGGCAGAGTTGAGTTGCCATAGCGGCGGCACATTCCACATATCTTCTGAGGGGGAAGTTTTTGTTGGAGCCTTGCAGGCTCAAGGGCGCCAGATTCCGATTAGAAATCGTTTTGGGGCCAGACAAAGATAATTTCCTCTCTGTCTTAGAGTTTGTTGGTCCTCAACCTCTCAGAATCCCAATAATGGATGTTAATTTATCCCAATCGGTGCTGATTCGTCCACTCTCTCCTTGATGGCATCCATCTTTTGTGCCAATAATGAATCTCAGCCAAAGTTCCAAGCTTACGATTCGTCTCGACAATTATGCGAGTCTGTGAATTCACAGCGTGGTACAATCCATCTCTGAGCTCCGGGATCCAGCCAATATTCCTCGACAGCTCGTTAATTTTCCGGTAAGCCAGGAAGCCTCCAAGGCCAATGAGCAGGAAACCTGACACCAACACCACAAATATCCACACGTCTTCAGAGTCCTCCACAGACAGCTGAGATAAACAAATCAAGTTCCACTGTTTCCAGGAGTCCATGATGTGTCCAACTGGGTCTGTCACGGAAGGGCATCCGGGAGCCCCTTCTCCCGTTCTCATCGTTGAAAAAATTTTATCAATTGCATTGAGTGACCAACTGACGAGATCCATTTTAGTGAATTTCATTTTCCAGTTCCCAGAAAAAATGCAGAAGCAGCCGCGCACCCAGCACACACAGACAGACAAAGGGCCTTGAGGATAAGATATGGAGGAGGAGGACAAAAGCGTCTGCACCCTCCAAGAGCCAGAAGAAGACTTGGTGTGTCTTGCCCATGTATGTCTGATCTCTGAATTGTGTGTAAAATGCTTTCAGAATTCCAGGAAAACTCCCCAGAAATACGGTAAAAATGTGCAGCACACATGGACGTAATTTTTTTTGGGGGGGGGGGGGGGGGGGGGGGGGACATGTCCCCCCCACTTTTTCCAAAATCAAGTTTTGACCCCGGCACTTTTTACCATCCAAAAACAATATTACGCTACATTAAATTGACACTGGTTGAGCTCTAAGACAAAGCGGAAAACAGCCGTTTGCGTTGAAAACTGTTTCCCATTAGAGCATACTGTAAAGACACCCCCCCCCCCCCGTGTCCCCCCCACTTCTAAAGTGAAAATTACGTCCATGGCAGCACAAGTGTGGATTATTGAAGTAAAAGAAGTGTATAGCGCCTCTCAAGAGGACGACCATGAAGCGCTTCAGTCTTGAATCTTTTACCCACAGAGACTTTTACTCAAAAACAAACCCCGCTTTGTATTTCCTTCTAAAACTCCCTCTGAGCTCTCTGATGGGTTTTGTCATTCTAATATACTGCTGGGGAATATGGCACATTTGAAGTCACCTTTCTTTGACCTTTAATTCATCTTTTCCCAACATTAAAATCAAGGAGGAAAACGCCAGCGTGAGGACCGTTTAAACACCACGATTAAAGACTGACTGGACTCTTTGTTAACGTCTGTTTCCTCCTCCGC